CGATTCAGTGTGGCTCAGCCAGAGCCTGCAGGTACAGGCATTCAGGCTTAAAAACCCTTTGTGAAGTCCCTCCAAGGAACAAAATGTGATGCTTCCCAAAGATGTTGCTTTCTTCCTTGCCAACATGCTAAAGCTGGGGCTGTACTGCCACCATAAACCTAAACCTCATCCCTGCTGCCACCAGCTCTCAGGGCTGCCAGGGAGACGGTGTCCTGGTCTGCTGCTGCCCAGCTGTACACTGAGACCTTGGGCTGGACTTTGCTGAGGGCAGTAGCTGAGTAGCGGGAGGACTGGATTAATGTGCTAATGCCAGATTATGCTCTAATGCAGGACTTCTGATGAGGGAACAGCCCCTACTCCAGCCCAGGGGCACTCACTTCCTGAAGCAGACTCCCCATGACTGCCTTGGGCCACAGCTTGGTGCTGCCTGCCTATCCCCCAGGGAGTTCAGTCCTCAGGGGTGACAAAGGACCGTGAGACAGGCAGGGAATACAGCACAGGGTGACCTCCACACTCAACTCTCAGTGAGCTGGAGGTAATGTCCCAGACTATGTAGCCCTGGCCCTCTGCTCTTCCAGGCTCTGTAGCAGAAGGATTAACCATCACAGCAGGGCTCCAAGGTATCTGGTTCCCCTTCCTCATCTGCCCCAGCTTCCCAGCACAGAGCTGTCCCCAGTCTATGCTTCTCAGTCCCAAACCCATCAGCCAGGCAATGCCATAAGACATGCTTTGGCTACAGTGGAGACCAAACTGTCTGTCATCCCACCTCCCTCAGTCTCATGACTACCACTGGGCCACCCTGGGCACAGGCAGAGCTTTTGCAGATTTCCACCCAGCCTGCATTTATCTCCCATCAGCTGAGACCTTCTGGCCGCTCTCCTGCCCCTTCCTGAGTATACAAATATCTCATCAGCCAATTTTCACCTGGGACTCTTCATTCTCCCTCTGTCATTTGCTGCCATGTCCCAGGGTCACTTTGTCCATGTATTCCCCCACAGACACCCCACCAGCAGCTGTGATGAAGTGCCATGGAGTAGGGAGGGAACCAGAAACCTGTACCCACAAGTCAGCCCAGAGAGCAACAACCCAAATCTGCAATGGAGCCAGTGTCCTAGTAGCTCCCACAGAGACAGAAGAGAGACCTCCCACTTCCATCTGCCTCGAGAAACATGTTCTCCATCATCCCCACAGGCAAATGAAGAAAGGCCCGAGTAGAAAGCTGGGCCAAGGCAGGTCCTTCACCAGCCATGCAGGTGCCAGGTCTGCACCATCCAGAACAGTTTCCTCCCCATGGAGCACCTCCAAGTCACTCCAGGGGATGATGCCAACTCTTAATAGCAAAAACACAGCTTCACTGCTGTTCTTCTGACAGGAAGAAGCATGGCTTGCCACATTGGCTGCTCCAGCTGTTCATCACTCCTCCATGCCCCAGTGCCATGGCCAGCTCGTCCAACCCATAGAATTTGCTCCACAGACAGAGCAGTAGGGCAAGGGGAGTCCCACAGAGCAGTTGTTCCACAGCTCCAGGTAGAAACTCCCCTTTTCACAGGTGACTATGCAACCTTGGGACCCACTGGCAACCAGGGTGCCCCTAGCAGCCCCATACACTCTTGGGAAGCAACATGAGGATGCTACGGCCTGAGAAGAGACCTTCTTGGGGCAGGAAGTTCTGAGCCCACTGCAGGCTGCACCATGCAGCTTGTGCCCACCTACCCTGCTGTTGGAGCAGATGGGGCATCCACTGTGAGGCACAGAGAGGAGATGTGTTGCTGCTGGAGGAATTTCAAACTAGGAAAGTACTGGGATCCCTCACCTGGATTTCTGTGGTGATTGATCACTGACTTGGCCCTGCTGCTCTACCTCTGAGTCCCAAACTCAATGTGAATCCCCCATCCCTGCAATCTCAGACACTGATGGGCTCTGCAGCTGGCAGCACAGGGGCTTCCCAGTCCCTTAATGCTCCTCAGGGAGCACTGGTGGCTGAAGGGATCACAAGGTTGGGGACAAGCTCTATCCATCCCCCTTACTGCTGCCCAATAGCTGGCTCCTGAGTCCAGATCATCCATCATGCAGGAGCACAGGGGTCTGGCAGGTTAAATCACACAATTTTTAAGAGGGGAAAATGCTAAGCTCCCAAGCCTGTCTGAGGATTCCCACCCTCACTACTCACCCTTGCTTGTGTTCCCTCCCCACCTCCCCTTTGCCCTGGTGGGAGCAGAAGGCTCCCAGGCTAGGTAAGGTGAGTGCTCCCCCTGCCTTGGTCCCCCCAGCAGCTGTACAATATCCAGACACATCTCCCTCAGTAAGGCTCTGGCTGAGCCAATGATGCATATTTAAATGCATGGGAGCATCTAAGTTCGTCTCTCATTCCTTGACATTTCCAGAGACTCCAAGCTGTCTTCAATTACCAGTCTGCAATTAGCTCTTCCTAAATCCCCCAATGAGGCCTAGCACTCTTAATCAATGAAACACAAGGGAGGAGGGGAAGGACATGGCCTCTCTGCAGCTGGAAACATTTTAAACGGCTGGGGCTTGAAGCTGAAATATCTTGTGTCGCTAAGGAGATCTGTGGGGTGGGAAACCCTCACCAGTGCTAGCAGGTTGTTCAGCTCTGGAGACAAGACTCTATAAAGCCCCACACCTAGGGGTAGGGAGTCACTGGACAAACACCACAGCTCAGGGTAGAGACTGCCAGCACCACAGGCTCAGGTGTTACCCTGTGATGCAGCAGACCTTCCTGCATTCACCTCACTGTGCCTCAGTTTTCCTCTGCAAAATGCTGATAGGGGAGGGTCAGGGCTCTCCCAGCAGCCCCATAGGAGCTGTAAGGGTCCAATTCCACCTGTTTAAGCCAGAGCTACCTTCCTCAGGACAAGATGTGGATATAGTCAAATTTGGGGTGGGTTGAGTGCATTGTGGCCCAGACAGCTCACCACAAGGTCACATGAATGTCAATCTACAGGCAGGAACAACAGCATCCATTAGGAGAGGCAGAAGGGGGGAAGCACTGGTCTTGGTGGGTTCACACAGCCATGGAAAAGCCTCGCACAGCACCCTGCCAGGTCAGCCCCCATGCTGACATCTGTGCTGTCTTCCTGGCAGCACAGCTTTGCCTGAATGAGCCAGATTGGGCCTAATTAGCAGCTCTGCTGATGCACACAAAGGTAGAGAGAATCCAGCTTACCCTCCATGACCTGCAGAGCCAGCACAGCTCTTCCCAGCTAAGGGGAGCCTGAATGCCTGGCTCAGAGGGGCTGGGAAGCACTGGATGCAGACTCCGGAGAATATGTGGTGCAGATCCTGCTAAAGAAGCCCCAGCCAATTCAGTAGCCTGAAGCATAGCAACCAGCTATGAGAAAAGCAAAGCCTTCCCCTTCTCCACCCCTCTCCCTGGGGGTCTGCAAAAGCACAGAGCTGGTAACAGGGCTAGCAGCACAGCTCCCACAGCCTGCTGCTGCCAGGGAAGGGAGCCCAGCCCTGCAGAGAGAGGGAGGAAGGGGGAGGTGAGGGTAGCTTTAGGAAAAATAAAACTAAAAAAAAATATGGAGGTGACGTGAAATGTGGCATCCTATTTAGATTCAGAGCAGCAGGCATTTCCATCTGGAATGGAGAAGGCCAGGAGAGCTCACAAGGAACCAAGAGACACTCAGGTGGACCAGAACTGGCCTTGAGCACAACAAACAGGGGTGAAATTCTGACCCCCAACTCACACTGGGTAGTAAATATAATATAATGGCCCATCTTCACGAGCGAAGATTTGGGGAAAGGTCTTTTACCTTTCCAGCCTGCGCAATGGATTTTTTAGGTGAGACACAGCCTGCGCTGAACTGAGCCCACCCTTTAATCCTAAGGTTCATCTGCCGGGGCCAAGCAAGCTTGGACAATGGCAGTGAGGTCCTCAGGACGTAGGTTTGTTTAGAGTGTCCTTCTCATAGATGGATGGCCACACAGGGCTAACGACCTCCATCAGGCCAGGAGACCGGGATTTGAACCCGTGGTCGCAGCAGTGAAAGTCCTGCACGCTAACCACTAGGCCACCAGGGGTCTCTGGGTAGTAAAACCCGCTTTGAGAATCAGGTCCCTCCCATCCTTTTCGGGGAGGAGAGGGGGCATGACTAGGAGCTTGGGGTGCCCCCCCCAATCCCACTTGCACCCCATAGCCCAGCAAGTCCAAGAGCCATCACCAGGCCCATCCAGGCCACCTCTTTATTCTCCAGTGAAGCAAAGTAAGAGGAGAGGGGACCCCCCCCCTCCCATAGCAGGCCCCCTCCGTCTGGGCTCCCTAGGCCTCCTCTGGCACACACCCCTTTACTCGCAGCAAGCCAAGGTTGGGGAGGCATAACCCCTTGTTTGGGGAGGCGCACCGGGGGGCGGGGGGGGGGGGAATTACCCGCGGGGAGGGGCGTGGGCGCCACCCCCAGAGGCTCGAACAAAGGGGCATGCGGGCGGCTCCCGCGGGGTGAGGGGCACCGTCGCCCATGCTCAGGGGGGCCCATATCCCCCCCACGTGGGCAGGAGGGGGGAGAAAGGCCTCGCTCCGCTCACGACACAGAACCCACCCGCAGCCTTGCCCGTAACCCCGCCCCCCCGCCTTTGTCTGCTCAGGCGCGGCAGCTCCAGCACCACGGACAGCACCGGGAGCACAGCAGGGCGGCTCTGCCCGCGCCGGGGAGCTCGTTCACATGCACCCTCTGCCAGAGGCACCCGCCGCACCTCCAAGGACCCTCCGACCACTCCTGCCCCAGACCCTCACACCCATTTTTTCACCCCTTTTTTTCTAGAGAAAACGCATCCAAGGAGCCTCCGCTCCTCCGCAGCCTTCCCCCCTCCGTCGCGCAGGCGGGAGAGACACCACTCCCCCTCCTCGGTCTTCGCCGCCGCCTCGGTGTTCCAGAGCGCAGCCCCCATCTGGGGTCGGAAGCGCGGGAGGGGGGCGGCAGGATCCGGAGCAGGGAGGGTCCAAGTAGCGTCTCCGTGGAGCTGGCGGCCGGGGAGGGGGGAAGATGGGGAATTCGCCTCCCCCGCCCCTCGGTGCGCGGCCCCTTCCGGCCCCGGGGGCCTGGTACCTCCCTAGCGGTCCAGGCTGATCGTCCAGTGCTTGGACCCGTCTCCGCCCTCGCCCTCGCTCTTGAGGTCCTGGAAGAGTTGCGTGAAGTAGTGCGGGTCCGCGTTGATTCGCAGCATCTTGGCGCTGAGGCGCTGGATGATGCCCAGGCAGCGCTCCCAGAAGCGCCCCTTGTCGCCCTCCACCAGGAAGGGCTTGAGCGGGTAGGAGATCTCGTTGCCCATGTAGGAGTAGGCAAGATAGAGGCAGGTGAGGAAGGCGGCCTGCAGCTCAGCCTGGCTCCCGATGTCTTCGCCCCGCAGCGCTTCCCGGCACAGCAGGTAGACGAACACCAGGTTGGCCGGGGTGATGAAGCCCTGGTCCTGCCAGCCCTGCAGCAGCAGCGAGCGGTCCACGCTGCGGAACCAGGAGATAAGCTCGCCAGGGCTCAGCTCCTTCAGGCGGTAGCAGCGGCGGCACACGAAGTCCCCCAAGCAGCGCAGCAGCTCGCCGGTGGACGCCTGCACCACCACGCGGCGCGGGGACCCTGGGGGGCGGCCGCCGACCGGCGGCGGTGGTGGCGGCGGCTTTCCCCCGCCGGAGCCCGGGTGCAACTCCTGCGGCGCCGAGGGCACGGTGGGTACCGGCACGGCTAGCGGGCCCTGCTTGGCGCCGTCGGCCGGCCCCACCACCGACTTGCGCAAGTTCTCGCGGTTTCGCTGCACCACCAGCGGGTCAGGCTGGCCCGGGGGCCCCCCCGGGGCCCCGCCGCCGGGCTTCGGTGTCACCTTCTTGGTGCTCTTCTTCTTCTTGGCCGAGGCGGCCACCAGCCTCTTCCAAGTGAGCGCCGAGATGAGCACGCCGGGGCGCTTCAGCCGGCTCTCGCCCTTGCCCGGCACCCTTCCCGGCGCCTTGTCGGCCAGCAGCCCCCCGCCGCCGCCGCCGCCGCCCTTGCCCGAGGAGGCGGCGGGGGAGAGGGAGAGCACCGTGCCCATGCTAACGCCGAGCGAGACGGGCGTGCAGGAGCCGGGGCGCCGGCACCGCCCATAGGAGGCCGGGGCCTGCGGGGGAGGCGGCCCGCACCGGGGCCGCGGTACCCGAAGATGCTCCGCCGCGCCCGCTCTGGGCTCCGCGCCCGCCGCTGCAGCCAGACGCGGCCCCGCCGCTCCCCGCCTCCCCGCCGACAGCCAATCGCCGCCACACGAGGCCCCGGTGTGCCCGCCCCCTCGCCGGTGGGCGGTGGCAGAGCACGGCGCGGCTTTGCCCGGCGGCCGCCGCCCCGGCGTGACCTTCACCGATCGGGGCCTCGCCCAGTGCTCCCGCAAGGGCAGGGGGGTGGGTTGGGATCTGCGATGCTGTCGCAGCCCCCCAGCCCTTTGTGTGGGGGACGTGGGAAGGCTCCTGGGGAAGCCCAGAGGACAGAGGGCACAGGAGGGGTCTAGGGAGGGCTTGTGAACTCGGGTGTTCTTGCGAAGTCCTGTTCTATATTCTTACTCACAACGGAAAAGATGAACCTTCCCAGACCAGCAGAGCATTCTGCTCCAATGGTGCTTGGGGAACACAGTGGGGAAGAAGAGCCCCTGGAAATGCCAGAAAAGAGCAGAGGGGTGAAAAGGAGGGGTGAAGATCAAGAAGACTGTGAACATGTGCTCAAGGGGCAGCTAGAGGCTTGGGGTGGGTGGAAGGCTGTCTGTGACTCGGCAGCCAACATGAAAGGTGTAGGCTTGGTGGGCAAGCCTCATCTCTCCTGAGAACCAGCTTGACCCTGGGAACAGCTCTGCAGGGAGTCAGAAGGCACCCAGCCTTGGGGGATAACCCCCAGCCCCTGCTGTGCAAGCATGGAGTCCCCCACCCACCCTGCCTCTTCCCACTCAGCCGTAGAAGGGAGATTTACCACCAGGCTGACAGTCACCAGCATCAGGCCAAAGTGAGGGGCCTTGGAGAAAGGGGAAGGGACCTCCTCCATGTTCCCAAGGCAAGTCCATCCAGCCCTGCTGCTCAGGGTTTCCAGACCCTCAGGAGAGGAGGGAAGGGATGCTGCACTTCTGCTTCATTGCAAGCGGTGTGTGATAAACCAGCCACATGCACATGCATAGACGCTGCTTCTCCCTCTATGAATGTGAGCATTCCATAGATGAAACTTGCACCCTCTGCTTGCTGCCTCTCTTTTCCTCACAGGAAGATCCCCCCTGTATTTCTCATGAGCTGCATCACGGATCCTGCAGCCCTGATTTCTACAATGGGTGCCAGGCATCCATTAGGAACAAAATGCCCCAATTGCAGAGACTGCTCCTGCATATAAAGCATTGGGAGAGACAGCTGGGAAAGGTTTCAGGGAGAATGTCTAAATGACGCATTTTGATACAGCATTTTATGTGTGAAATGAACACATGTCGTTGCCAGGATGTAGTTCTGCCGGATGGATCCAGGCTAACAGGCGGTAATGAATTATCAACCGGGAGGAGCTAAGCCAGCCCCCCTGCTTCCTCCTGCACTGCTGATGCTGGAAATGTTTGCAATGAAAGCACAGACTCAGAGCCATATTTCAGGCTTCTACACTGGCCTCCTGATGCTTGGGGCTGACTTGCCACATCTAGGGGCAGAACAGAGGCTATGCCCTCTGTGCCATGGCAGGGAAGAGTGGCAAAGTTGCATTCCCACATATTCTGCACTGTGGTCAGCCACCATCCCTGCAGTAGGTTCTGCAAAGGACAGGCACGTGTGCACACAGACCTTCAGACAGAGAGGTTTGCTTTGGGAGTGGCCAAAACCGAATGGATTTGGGCTAGCACCACCTGCTCAAGGCCAGCTTAGACTGGGCTGAAGTAACATGGAGGATTTGGTAAAGGGGTATAAATACAGACAAAGAAAATCAGGACAAGGTTCCTGACAATGATTAAGTCAGCACCATCAGATATACATAGCTGGTTTCAACCTAGCTGAGAAGATGGAGGAGCCCTAGGGAGGGGATGGGAAGGAGCTTGGATTTGCTCTCTTTACATGTTTGAGGATTTTCTGGTGTGAAAACATGGTCTCATGAGAAACCCACAGCTGAATTTTGCAGGTGAGGAAGCAGAGGCCTTTCTGCATACTGCTTTCTCCTGCTGAAGTGAAATTGCTCTCAGATTGCTTCATCTGAAACACATGAAGCCACCCCCACCTTGTGTGAGATCTCCCAAATTGGCTTCCATGAACTCATGCAGAAAGACTACTCATATTTGACAGTGATGGGCTTTACAGCAGAGGCCAGAGAGTTCCCCTGCCTCCCCCAGCTGGGCTTGTGGTTATTGAACTGCACAGTTCAGTGTATGTATGCACCTCCTACCACTCCCAGGAGGGGAGATTTGGTTGAAGTCTGTTTAAAAATCCAACCCAGAGCTGTTCAGTTATGCAGCTTGAGGCCTCACCTATGAGCAGGAGGAGTGCTTCAGTGCATTATTCCCTTCTTGCCTGCAGCTTGCGTCCTGCTGTGGCAGCAGCTCTGGGGTAGAGAAGGTCGGTGAGCCCATAGTTGTTCTCCAAGACAGCATTGCTGACAGCGGCAAGGGCTTCCTGCAAGCACTACGGAATTACCCAAGCCCTACAAGGACAGCAGGATCTTTCTTATGTGGGTAAAGAAGCAGCTTTGCAGCTTACATGGGAGGCAGCTGCACTTCCACGTGAAAGAGGAGGATCTTTTCCCCATTCTTTAGATTTACTCTTCAGGCTCAAGCCCCAAGGCTGGCAGGCAATGATATAGCACAAAGTACATCCTTGGGGCCATCTCTGCTCGGCCTTTTTCTTGGTTGTAAATGGTCAGCTGGCAGGGAAAGGCACAAAGCAGGAGGAGAGGGCAGCATTTCCCTTCCCCAGGGAATTGCGGTTCCCACCTCAGGCAGCAGGAATGACATGCCTTTGGATGCAAGGGAGGAAAGAAGTAGGGCTCCAGCCATACTTGGTCTCAAATCTCTCAGACTTCTGGCCTTAGCCAAATCTTCAGCTGCTGGTGCTGTGGCTTTGTGGGGACACTGCTGGCATACACAGGTACTCTGTCACTAAGGGTCACTCTAGCCAGAGCAACACATACTTCAGCTACATGCTAACACCAACAAAGGGATGGTTTCTTGTCCAGGCCCCTGACTTGGGCTGTATAAAGGGGTATCCCTGTCTTGAATCAGGGTATTCCAGATGAAAGGTTGGAGCACTCTGGCTCCCAGCTGGCTGGGCTCTAGGGATGGAGACAGATAGGGAGACGGCAGCACCAGGGAAGAGAAGTAGGTGTAAAACCAGGCAGATACTGTGAAAAGACTCTGAAAGAGCTACCACTGATCTGCACGATCCACACAGTTCCCTGCAAGTGCATGACAGTCTCCCACTCTGCTCTACCTGACCTGAGCGTCCCACTGCAGAGAGCTGTGCAGCTCTGCCTGCCTGGTTCAGGTGGGAATGTGGGGGCAGGTCAGGCCTTAGCTAAGCCCATGCCAACCATCACATCCTCTCCAAGCTGTCTCTGGCATGATGTTGCCATGCTGAGGCTCTGTCTCAGAAATGCACAAGTTCCCAGCCTGGGGCAGAGCAGCTTTTCCAGCACCCTCATGACAAGAAAAGGCATTTTGGAGGGTCCAGGGCCCCCTAGTCTGACCCCAGCTCCCTTCCAGGATGCTGGGCTATTGGACCCAGGCTTTGTGATGGGTCCTGGCTGAAAGCAGTTGGCACATTCCCCTGCCTGCTCCAGAATGATGAATGAGCATGTGTTTGCTGGCTGGCTAGAGCTGTTCTTTAATAGCTCACTTGCTGTGCCGTGGTCTGTCTGCACTGGCAAAGACAGGCAGGGAAAAGGACTGTCTCCTTGGCAGCAGCTGGCCAGCCAGCTCCTGCACTGCTTTACCCATGGAGACAGAGCTCACAGTCTCAGTATATCTCTCAGTGAGTGGTTCTGACAGCTCTGGTGCTCCCCCTCCCCATCCTGTGCAACAGCTTCTGGCAGAGCTCCTGCTGCACTGGCAGCCCTGGGGCTGGGAAGCCACAGAGGACCTGGCTGGCAGGTTGTCTGCAGTGCCCAGGGAGGAGAAACCTGCTTGTGCTTCTGTGCTTTCCCCCTACACCTGTCCCCTTCCCAGCTCTCAAGGGTGGGGGGCTACAGCTGTGGCTCCACAGACACCGAAGCTTACCCTGTGATACCCACTTAGTGTGGCTCAGGGTGGGAAGCAATGCCTACCTGAGGTGGCTGGAGGAGCTTGTGCAGCCCCTGCTTCAAAGTCAGCCCTGGGTTTGCACAGCAGAGTGGAGCAGAGCACAGTCAAATCAAGCAGCCCTGTTGCAGCCCCTGGAGAGAAGCTATTTTTGTCTTGCCATTTGCTGAACGGCAGTGATGGGAATGGCTCAGAGAGCTGAAGAAACGCAGCTTCTCTGGGTGGAAAACATGCAAGGCAGAGCCAGGCCTTGAATCCACATGGAAACACATCTCTGCTTCCCAGTCTATGGCCAGAGAGATGGGTCCTGGCACTGGTTAGCTCCTGGCTTCTGGTGGGAGAAGCAAGGGGGTATTCACTGGCATTGGGGTGGGGATGTGGATTGATTGCTGTTAGGGCTCTGCTTTCAGCAGACATCCCTTCCAGGACTGCTGGCATTAAAGCCTTTAGGGAAGAAGGTCTCAGCGCTGAGTAGAACAGGAAGGAATAACTGGGATATCTCAAGTATAGCCACGGGCTGCTTAAATGCCTGCCAGCACATCCCTAGGGTCTTGTGGCAGGAGAAAACCCACACAGCCGCAGGGTGGTAGAGATTGACGAAGGTGCCAGTTATCCCCCCTGCAGCCAATTCGGGCTCCATCAGCCAGCCGAGCGCGGGAAGGTGGCGGGTGGTCTCTGCGCTGGACTCCCCGAAGGGGTGAGGCGGGGCTGAGCGAGCCCCCGCGCTGCCCGCCGGGGTGGCGGCTCGGGGGGCCGGGGGCCGGGGCTGTGCTGCCCTCTCGCGGCAGCCGCCCCCGGAGCTCCTCGGGCGCGTCTGGCGCTGCGCAGGGTCCCCTCCCCATCTCCACGTTGTTTCTCCAGCGTCTGTGTGCCCGGCCCATTACCACAGTTCTTTGCCTCCCTCCGCTTTGGGAAGACTGGCTATGGGGGCACTGG